TATATATATATATATCACAAAACATCTCTGAGGTTCACACACCTATCACAAATGGTCCTTACGAAATTTTTTAATTTTTTAATTTAAAATTCATAAAATTTTGGTTTTCTTTTTAAATTTTTATGAATTTTAAATTATTTTAAAATATATATTATATTTTAAATACATGTGACACTGTATTATTGTAGATGTGGGCTTCATATATATGCCACATCAACAAACTAATGGAGTTTTTTTTTAATAATTTAAAATTCATAAAATTTAAAAATGAAAAAACTAAGGGTTTAGTCCTCGAGATTAAAATCCTTCTATAAATGATTTTTTCATTTATAAATAATTTTAAAAAGAAAACCAAAATTTTATGAATTTTAAATTAAAAAATTAAAAAATTTCGTAAGGACCATTTGTGATAGGTGTGTGAACCTCAGAGATGTTTTGTGATATATATATATATAATCCACGTCAGCAAACTAACAGAGTTTTTGACGGAACCTAACGGCAAGGACCATTTGTAATCGCACAGACTAACCTTGAGGACCACGATTGACAAAAAAAAACATTAATGAGGCAATCTGATAGTTTCGTAAACCTTATGGACGTTTTGTGATATTAAGCCTATGGGTAATAACTCTGAAAAAGTAAAAAAAATCAAAAAGGACAATAGAGACTCGGGTAATAGCCTAATAATAATGGATAATGCTCTAAACTACTCTTATCGATAAAAGAAAATCGGGGAGAATATTTTATTTTTTATTTAAAAAAGGATCCTAGTATATATATAGTATTTAAAGAGTATATATATATCTCGATAAAAGAAAATAGGGGAGAATTTTTTATTTTTTATTTTAAAAAGGATCCTAATATATATACGGCTATAATATTTATTTAAAAAATTATAATAAAAAAAACCCAAGTAAAGCCACGGCGATACTATTTTGTTATAAAAAAATATTTATTTATTTTTAAAAAAAACCTGGTATAGCCGCGAGGCTATACTATTTATGAATAATAAAAAAGCCTAGCACCTAGGTCTAGGTGGCTGTGTGTGACGGCTATACTATTTTTATTAAAAATACTATCTTTGTAAACTACACGAGAGTATAGCCGGTCGGCTATACTATTTATGGGGGGTAAAAAAAGGGACCTGCCTAGCACTTGGGCGGCCACTTGTCAAAACCAGTATAGCCGTAGGTTTGAAAAATGCCCGAGAGTATAGCCGCTCGGCTATACTATATATATAGAGGGAACCCACATGTCAAAAACAGTATAGCCGGACGGCTATACTATTTTTTATATAAAAGAATTACCGTAATATAGCCAATCCCATTTGGTGGAGAAAAACTTCCATAAAACAGGAATAACAATATTTTGCTATTCCCGACCAATAACACTATGACACGTGTGCACATGACAGGGCTTTAGTTATAACAAAATAGTGCTCTCCCCTACTAAGTTTTTCTCCTTTTAGTACTCATGCCTCTTTAAACAGGGGAAAAAACTAAGATTAGAGGAGCACACGGCTATTAAGCTTGGGGGGCAACTGTCCTTTGGCAGGCCTCGACCAAAAGTTGCATAGCATTTAAATTCTCAAATTCAGTGGAAGCAGAAACATAATAAATCTCACAACCTGATTTAAATCAAGTATATAATGCCACAAACAAAGATATATTATATATGTATATATTGATTCTGCATATCACAGCAGCAGAAGATCATTTTTACGATTGCCACGGAAATTCAATTCATCCAACACAATCACACAAATGTTTTGCAATTAACACTCAGATATATATAAGTTGTCCAAACGCTTCAAAAGAGTTTTTGGATTACATAATCTGCACCATCCTAGGGCTTTGCAATACACGCAACCACTTCTTACAGAGACTAATCCCACCGCCAGTTCATTGTTATATGAACGTAACACCTGAAAACACAGAAATTTCTATGTTAATATTCCGAAACTTCAAAAACAAGGAGAAGAAAACTTGGGCAAAACAATTAGGCAGAAGCCACATTACATATCACGACAAATTATCTACCAATTAGCATACGTATTTACATAGAAACCATTGAGTGATGCATGTAAGCAACAACTAAAGTTCTGTTCATTTATTTACTGAAAAGAGAAAGCATGCTGCTACTGTAATATTTTTGGTGTTTTTCTTCAGTTGGTACGAGAAACCACTTGAGGCTTCTCTATTTTCCAATTAAAGGAGATGGCACAATTGTCGGCCAAAACCGGCTCAGTGCTGCTAGGCATAGAGATTGACAAGGTGGGTACTGTTTCAGATGGACACTTAAATTTAAATGAGATAATCATGTTGGGCAAAACAAGACTTGTATGGTATGTACATGTTCAGCATGCCGATATTCATATAGGGTTGGTTGATTTCCCAAATTCCGGAATAACCCTAGCAACCTGAATGAACAACATTTGAAAGAAACACTTGCACTCCTAACCA